AGAACTAGAAAGGCGAGGCTTCACCACCCATTTATCCCTCCGCCTTTCAACCAGCACCACATGTGATTATCGGCCAGGCTGGCACAATTAACTAACTCAGGTCTCTTTAAGCTTAACTTCGCATCTCAACCCCTCTGAAGTCCAAGTGCTTGTCCCGGTGGAGGGAGAGACAGAGGCGGCCTCTCAGGGCCGTGTGCCGGCCTGCAGGCAGCCAGGGCATGACAAGGAGCCTTCCTGGAGCAGAGGGCTGCGTGATGGGTTCCTGCAGTCAGCGGTTTGAACCCACCCTCCAGCCCTCGGGAGGAAGAGGAGGCTGCTGCTCCCATGAAGATTGGCGGTCTCGAGACCCACAGGAGCAGTTCGGCTCTGTCTGCCAGAATGGGCTGGGGGCAGGGGTCCTCACAACAGGAAAGGTCGTGACCTCAGGCACTGTCGGGATAAGAAGGAGCTCCCGGGACCACACTTCCCGTCAGCACCAAGAGAAGGCCAGACTCCAGCCAAGCTGGCCTGCTGGTGACCCTGCTGCTTCTGCCAGCCAGCTCCATCCTGCCCGCCCCCGCCCCCCCGCCCAGAACTGCTGCCAGCTTTGCTCCCAGTCAGACTTGGATCCACCCCGCCCCCCTCTAGTCCACCAAGCAGCAAGTGTTGCCGGACACTTAGCCTGCGCCCAGCCCTGCCCTCCTCCTGCCTCTGTCCCCTGGAGGCTGCTGTCTCCTCTCCGCGTGGCCTGAGGACTCTGCCATAAACCGACAAGCCCTGTTCCCCAGCCTCCACCAGGGACCGGGCAAGGCAGTCTGTGTGTGCAAATGGTCTCGAAGCCTGAATTGTGTGAGAAGGCCTTCTGGGGGCTGGGGCCAGTGTGGCCAGCCTGGTCAGGAGTGAGGACCCCCGCTCTCAGCGAGCAGCACTCGCCCCGCTCCTCTCCAGGCTTTGGAGGCCCTGGAAGCCGGTGGGGCGGGAGGGGATGGGGACAAGGCACAGAAAGGGATAGTCCTGTCCCAGGTCCCTACTGGGGAGGGTCACAAACTCTGCTGGCCAGTGACATACTAGACCATCTCGGCCACCTCACACGGAAGCATCCCCAGACGTCCGGCCCTGCCATGGGAGCCAGCCCAGCAGAGCAGCGACAGTGGGGGGGACCCCACAGCAGACTGCGCCGAGGGCATGAGAGTCTTGAGACAAGATCGGGTGTCCCGTCTTCCCACAGAGCCTCTGTGGCATGTGCCCGCCCAGGCCCGCCTCTCAGCCATGACTGGAAGCAGCAGCAGCAAGCACGCCTCCAGGCAGGACGCAGCCGGCAAAGATTCCCCCAACAGGCATTCCAAAGTGAGTCTGATCCCCACCTGCCCCAGGGGCAGACCCAGACTACAGGGGGGCGGGGCAGCTGCTCTGATGCCCAACCCCCCTCCAGGCTGCTCAGCGTGGCCTAGGTGTGACCTCTGAACCCCGACGGTGAGCACCTGTCCAGCTTCCATAGTGCAGAGATGCTGAAGGCTGGGTTTTGGAGTTAGAGCCAACCAGGACCACTTCCTGCCTTCTGAGCTCAGGGGCCTCACACCATGGCGTTTGCTTCCCCACAGCTCCCTAGAGCCCTCTGGTGGGTGTCCTCGGGGACCCTGCCTCCCTTCAAGGGATGCTGGGAAATGTGGTCCAGTGTACCCAGGCTGGGGAGGAGATTGTTTGGGTGGGCAAGGCAGTGTGACGCCCACTCTCCCAGTGGGCCTTTGAGGAGCACTCAGTGAGCCCCTGTCCTCGTGAAGCTGACGTCAATGCAGGCAAGATGCTGTGAGCAGATCAATCGATCACTGGCATAGCCCCAGAGACGACAGAGCTGAGCTAAGGGGAACCTTTAAGCGCAAACATCTCATGACGTGAGGGAGTGTGGAAGGAAGGCGGAGGGCGAAGGTTGGCATGATGGCGTGCAGGGATGCTCAGGGACAGCGAGGGGCTCTGGGGCTGGAGCACAGGGTGTGAGCACAGCTGGGAAGGAGGAGATGATGTTGGAACGGGTGGGAGACGACTGCACATGGGCCTCATGGGCCTGCCGAGCTGAAGAGAGAGCTGGCGCATGCTACACTGGGGCCCTAGCAGAGGGGGGCAGGGGGCAGGGCCAGGCCCAGGCCATGGGGGCCTGTGGAGGGAGGAGGGGGCCTGGTCCTGGGGCTGTCTTGAAAACAGCCAACAGGACCCTCTGTTGGGCTGGACAGGGGTCTGAGAACCAAAGCAGCCGGGCCCGGGGTGACACGGAGGCACTAAGTGGGGCCCCAGAAGGAAGGGGGAATTTTCCCAAGGAGGGAAAGATTTGGGATGGTACACAGGTGTGGAGTTTGAGGTGCCAGAAGCACATAGCAGGGTCTCAGTTACTCCTCCCAGCAACCCCAGGGCAGGCAAGGTGAGCGGGAAACTGAGTCACAGGGCTGTTGAGGCCTGTTGCCTGGGGTCACCCCTGTCTGCCTCCAGGGTCCACGCTGGGGTGGGTCCAGGAGGGAAGGGTCCAACACCCTGTGCACAGGCAGCCCTGGGCCAGGTGCCGCCCTCAGTCCCCTCTGCCTTACAGGGAGAGCCTCAGTACTCCAGCCACTCCAGCAGCACCACCCTGTCCAGCAACACGTCCAGCAGCCACAGCGACGACCGCTGGTTCGACCCCCTGGACCCCCTGGAGCCAGAGCAGGACCCCCTGTCCAAGGGCGGCTCCAGCGACAGTGGCATCGACACCTCCCTCTACACCTCCAGCCCCAGCTGCCTGCCCCTGGCCAAGACACCGCAACGGCCCGCCAACACGCACAAGCCCCAAGGCGGCCCGGGCCTCTGTGGCGGGGGACGGGAAGCTGCCGGGAGGCCCCACCACATGGACAGAAGGCGGGAGGTCTCACCCGCCCCGGCGGTGGCTGGCCAGAACAAGGGCTACCGGCCGAAGCTGTACTCCTCAGGCTCCAGCACCCCGACAGGCTTGGCCGGCGGCAGCCGAGACCCACTGAGGCAGCCCAGGTAAGGCCCAGTACCTCTGCCTCCCGGCTCCTGAGCACCTTCCACTTGCCTCAGCCCCACCAGACAGCCTGTGGGCCGAGAGCTTACTGGCTGGGCTGAAGGCTCAGGGCCAGCCCCCTGCTGCCCACCCGTGTCCCTCAAGGAGCTTAGGTCAAGGGAGAGACGTTTCTGCCCGTTTGTCTCTGGTCCTGTTCTCTCTGACCCTCTCTGCTGCTCTGACTGGCAGTTCTTACTGGGCCTGGGCTATACCGGCTGAGAAGCATTCTTTTCGCCTGGCGGTGATAGGAAGGGGGAGGGGTGTGGTGCGAAAGGAGGCCTGAAGGAAGCAACCCTGCAGAGTGGACCTGCAGTCAGAATCAGTGAGAACGCACAGCCTCCCGGAAAAGCCGTTCTGAAGGGCTTTGCCACCTTCAAGGCCCGTGGGCTCAGACAGGTTCCAAGACCCCCTTCAGCCGCCTTCTCCTTCTACATGGAGAGGTGAGGAGCTGGAGCACAGGTGGTCAGGGCCCAGGACCCCCAAAAAGAGGGCTGAGGGACCACCCTGGAGGGACTTACCTGCACACGGGGTCCCTGTCCCCTTGACCTTCCTCCGATGTCTGCGTGCTGGCACCAGCCTGAGGGTGCCCAGCCGCAGGAAGAATTGTGTCCAGGCCTGTGTGTAAGAGTGCCCATGCCAGCACGCCAATACCCATGTAGAGCTGCCCTCTAGGACAGAGGAGGCCCGCTTCGCTCTCCGGGGTTTCTGAGGCTGCCAGTCAGTCTGTATGGGTACAGACAGCCCCGTCGTCCTCCTGCAGAGCAGCTGGTGGGTTTGAGCAATGTGGACGCATTCTGTTTGCTTTGAGTGTTGGCGCTGCTGGCCGGCCCTTTATGAGCGGGGCTCTCAGATCTGACAGCTGTCCTCCATGGGTGCCTGGGATGCTGCAGGGGCCCCGGTGGTGCCAGTCAACCCACCACCCCTTCACAACCCCTCAGCGGGAGAGAGACATGCCAGTGTCTGTTTCTGGAGAGCCTTGTGGGGCGGCCGGGTCATCTTTGGGTTGCGGGGCCATGGCTTCCTATTCCTGAACCTCAAGACGGAGCCGGCATGCAGGGAGAGGGGGGCGCAGTGAGAGGAAGTGGGGGTTTCCTCTCTCTCTCTCCCCATTTCTGAGTCTCCCAGGCTCACTGACTTCTCTGAGCAGATTCCGTCCATTCACTTATTCAGTACTCCTCTGAGGCCTACTGTGTGCAGGCACTGTGTCGGGGAGTTGAGGAGAATTGCAGGGCAAATTTGGACAGACCCCGGCTCCCCAGAGCCAAGGCCTGTAAGGGAAACCCCACTGAGACTGCCATGAAGCTGTGCTCCCAGGGACCTGCAGGGTGGGGCGCACACAGTAGGACATTGTCTGAGGGGGAGAAGTGGGCTGGGCGTCTGAAGGATGAGTAGGCAAAGAACCCCGGTGGCACCGTGGTGAGGTGTTGGACGGCTAACCATAAGGTCAGGGGTTCAGATCCAGCTGGCGCTTTGTGGCGGCACAATGAGGCTGTCTGCTCCTCTAAAGGTCTGGGGTCTGAAGCCCTGTGAGGCCTGGAGGAGCCCTGGGGCACAGCAGGATGAGCCTGGCTGTCTTCTCAAGCCCAGCGCTGCTCCGCCAGCTATGACTCGGAGGCAGTGGGGGTCAGTGGGATTGACTGGTCCTAAGGGTCAGGCTGAGGACAGGACGGTCACCACCTGGGCATCTGACCCTGGCTGGCAGTGGACCGTGGCCAAGGCAAGCGGGGAGGCTGCAGTCCCTCAGCTAAGCGGCCTTGGTTGTGGTACCCCCCACTGCCATTCTGTGCACAGGCCCCCACTTGTGACCCCGAACGTGCTGTGGGGTGGAGTCTGGCAGCAGGGCCACCCCCAGGAGAGGGAGTCCTGGTGCCAGGGCGGGAGGGCAGGGACGACCCACCCTGAGAGGAGGGTTTGGGGGCCTCGATTAGGAGCCCAGCCGCAGCAAAAGAGAGCCCAGCCTGTGGTTGGGAGCGCTCATTTGCATACAGACAATTGCTGCTAATTGCAAATCATTCTTACCCACTCATTAAAGCTGCTTCCTGAAGTTTTCTCCTAGGCAACGGGCTTCAGCGTGGAGCCGCTTCCTTGGCACCTCCTTGCTAGAGGTGATCTGGGTGGAACTGGGAGCGGCCAACTGCCTCCTAACCCTGGGCTGTGTGTGCTGTGGTGAGCCTAGCTCACATTTGGATGAGTTTATTTAAAGAAGCACAGTGTCCGTGTGCAAGGGTGAGCGCCCTGGGCATGAGACAGAACCCGTGCTCCTCAGCTTCCCCATCTCTGAAATGGGGCCACGCAAGGTCACTGGGACACAAACCAGCAAACCAAACACCCTGCCGTCAAGTTGATCCCGACTCCCATCACCCAGAATCAAACTGCCCCTGTGGGTCCCGAGACCTGAGATCTTCACGGGTGCAAACAGCCTCCTCTTTCTCCTGCAGAGGGCCGGTGGGATGGAACCGCTGAAGTTGCAGGGACCCTACCAGAGCTAGTGCTCATTCAGCCCTTTGAAGGGTGCCTGCTGGGTGGTCCTCAAGCCTGGGGGCTGTTAGAATCACAGGGTGCTTGTCAAAGAGACCAGGCCCTGCCCCCACCCACCTAAATCAGAATGTGGGCCCTGGGCCAGGGCCCTGGGAACCCTTCCAGCCTCTGCCCTCAGGCTCAAAGTGAGAGAAGCGGGCCTTTCCCCAGAGGCAAAGGCCAGGCTTGGGGAGCGGAGAACAGAGGGGGTTAGCTGGTGCGGGAGCCCCAGGGATCTATGGGAACCCAAGGGAAAGGCCTGGAGAGAGGAGGCTGCCGGAGAGTAACCAGCCAGGGAGACGAGGACAAGGATGGGAACAGCTCCAGCCCCGGCTAGGCCCCATCCCCACCAGTCCGATGTCTTGGTGCCAGGCTAGGACTCAAGGCCTTCCTGTGCCTGCACCTCCCCACAGGCCCACCAGCTTCGCCCACACTGCCGCCTTTCACAGGCTGGCCCAGCCTTCTGCGGTCACGCACCCATTCCCCGGCATGTGCTGGAATGCTGCCTGGTATCAACTTCTGGCCAGCAGGCACCTTTGGAACAGGCTGCCTCGAGGTGCTGGATAATCACCTGGCCTCTGCTACCTCGGCACCCTGGGCCCCCAAGCCACATATAGCCGTGCGGGGCCCAGCTGGCACCGCAGACAGGCCCGGGCTGCCCTGGCTGCCCGTGTGCCAGGGGAGGCTGCACACAATGAATTCATGACTCTGCCGGGAAGCTGCTGAGGGGACCCTCTGGGATCTGAGCGTGCGTCGCCGCAGGGACACACGGACTTCTGATCTTACCTGCAAGGCAGGGATCATTTACCTGAGGGGATGGAAGAGGAGGTGGCAGGGGGTTACAGTTATGTGATGTTGACTTGGTTCCCCAAAACACTGGTGCTGCTGGTCTGAGTGGAGAGCCCCTGGGTGCTTGGCTCCCTAAGGCTTCAGGTCACCAGGCCTTTTTCGGAGAACACGTCTGGGTGAGCGCAGGCATCCGTACACGTTGCTGTGTGACTAAAACAGATGGCGTGTGGAGCGGTGTGCCTGTCAGCGGGGGGGCATGAGAAGGGTGTCCATCCTACCCCTGGACACAGGCTCCTGGGCTCAAAGGTAGAGAGAGTGAGGGGTGGCTGCAGGAGGCAGCGGAAATCAGACCCAAAGCCTCGTTGGCCTCTTTGGGGAAGAGTTAGATTCACTCTGGGAGCGGCTGACAAGCAGAGCGGCTGATGCAGCCAGAGCGCTTCTGAAGGGTGGTGTGTGCGCGGGAGGCCAGCCCCCAGGACGGCCGAGCTGGAGCTCAGAGCAACTGTGGGTGCAGCCATGGGGCGTTGCCAGGCGGAGGGGACGGAGCTCGCGGCACAGGTGAGCTACACATGCAGCAGGCGCCCTGGTGGCACAACACTTAACAGCTCAGCTAAACCCTAAAGGTTGTCGGTTCAAAGCCAGCAGCCACTCCGAGGAGAAAACCGTGTCCGGCTGCCTCCCTGGGAACCCCATGAAGGCAGGTGCCCTCTGTTACAGAAGGGTCACTTGTGAGTCGGAATCGCAGGGAAGGCAGTAGAAGGCACTGCCGTGAAAGCCAAGAGGGTGGGAACCATGTGGTGTTCCTGATGGGAAGGACCCCCAGCCTGCCATGGCGGGCTGTGGAGTGCGCCAAGGAGACTGGATTGGCAGGGTGAGCGGATCTGGGTCCTGGCCCACCGACTGGTGCAGAGAACTACAGGAAACTTGAACTTAACGTTTTAAAACTCACCTTGGGCTGGGCCAAGGAAAACGGAGGGCAGGGTGCTGGCAGGCGAGGGCTGGGCCCTGCCGTGGCCAGATGGAGCCCACAGCCTACCCTGGGCAGCAGCCCTGACCACGGAAGCCGCTGCAGCCTGTGCACCACCGCCCTACCCCACCCAGAGCTCCAGTGACTCCACAGACACTCCCCCCCAGACAGCCGTCACAGGAGCCCGCTGACAGGCGCCAGCGCCTGCTGTGGGCACCTCAGTGGGCTGGGCTCCCAGGCCGGCCCCCGCCTGGCCCGCACCCTCCCCTGGGGCCTGCCGGGTTCCAGTGCCGTTTGTCAGCGCCCAGCTCCACGTGGAGGAGCCGCCTGCTTCCCGCACAGCCGGCATCCCCAGGTGAACTGGAAGCATGTGGCCACGGACCCCCAGGCCGGTGCTGGCATCTCTGGCATGCCCTTCTGGGGACTCCTCCCCCAGAGGTAGCCCAGGGGCTGAGGACCAGCCCCCTACCCCGCTGGTGGCAGGTGTCCCTGTGTTAGCTAGGAGCTTGGAGCCACACCACAGGCATCCCAGGTGAGTCATTGGCAGTGTGGGAAGAGGCACCCAGGAAGGAGCACAGGAAGGAGCTACACGGGTCTGCAGGAAGAGACAGGGAGAGGGCACGCTAGAGAGGTGAGGGCAGTTGTCTGGGCCTAGCCAGAGTGAGGTGACGGAGCAGGAATGCGGCCCTCTTGCCTCTTGCAGCTTCCACCTCTCCTAGGCCCTGCCCCTAACGCTCCTCAGTTCACAGGGGCATTGTGGCCACTCCACAGCCTTTAGGTATCAACCCTGGCCCTGCGTGAGACAAGGGCCAGTGGTAGCTATGGTGGCGGCAACTGACTGAGTGGAGTCCTGTCGGACATGCACCACATGCACAGGCTTGGTGCCCTCAGCACCCCCACCGTGCCTGTCCCCGCTGCCCCATCAGGCCAGAGCCTGACACGTAGCCCTGGACCTGGTTCTGAAAGCTTTGTTTTGTTTTGAGCATAGAACCTTCCTTCACAGCAGCACCTCCAGTGCTCCCTTAAGATGCAAGACAGATAACACAGACCTGCCCAGGGCTCCCACAGAGTGCTGGCCGGCCTGGCCCCTGAGCCTGGACAACTAGCTTCTGTGCCCCACCCCACCCCCCACCCCCACCTTTATAACTGCCGCCTGGGGAACACTTCCTCCCGCGCCTGAGCCTGGGCTGAGCTGAGCATTTCACGGAGAGCATCCCAGAAAGCCAGAACTCTTGCTGCCCCATTTCTCCGATGAGATGAAAGGCCTCCCCAAGACTGTGGGGCCGGGATTGGGACCAGGCCAGGCGAACCCCAAAGCTGTTTTCTCACCTGCCTTTTCACAATCCATACATACGCCAATTGTATAAAGCACATTTGTACATTCATTGCCCTCATCATTCTCAAAACATTTGCCCTCCACGTAAGCCCCTGGCACCAGCTCCTCATTTTTCCCCTCCCTCCCCGCTCCCTCCTCCCTCATGAACCCTTGATAATTTATAAATCATTATTTTGTCATATCTCACACTGTCGACGTCTCCCTTCACCCACTTTTCTGTTGTCCGTCCCCCAGGGAGGAGGTCACATGTAGATCCTTGTCATTGGGTCCCCCTTTCCACCCCACCCTCCCTCTCAAGTGTACATTTTCCATTTGCCCCCTTTCATGTCTCTTCCTCCTGGAGATCCTCGTTTGTTACTTTGTCTCATCCTCGTACTTCTTCAGCATTATTCCTTTTCAGTTCCCCGAGCATCTCTAGCATAGCTCCTTTGGTTGTCATCTGCTAAATCCAACATCTGATAACACTCAGACAGTGTCTGTTGACTGCTGGTTTTTCCTGAATTTAAATTATCAGTATTTTCGGTCAGATACTAGATAGTCCAGAGAATACAGTGTAACAACTCAGGAGTTTGATTCGTTTCCTCAGAAGGTGGTGGGGTTATAGTTTGTTCCTCTGTTTACTGTTGAATCTGTGTCCTCTGAAGTGAGTAGCTGTTTACGTCTTTCTGGTTTATTTATTTTTTAAATCATTTTGCTGGAGGCTCGTACAGCTCGTAGCACAATCTGTACAGACATCCATTGTGAGAGCACATTTGTATGTATGTCATCATTTTCTTTTGTTTTTCATCATTTTCAAAGCATTTCTTTCTACTTGAGCCATTGGTGTCAGCTCATTTTTTTCCCCCTTCCACCCCCAGATTTTAAAGGTTTAAAATAAAATATGAGGGAGTTTCAAAAAGTTTTTTTTAAAAGAATTTTTGAAGCTCCCTCATATAATACAGAATTGTTAAATTCAATCCATATCTATCTGCAGAGTTGGTTTTTTTTAAATCATTTTATTGGGGGCTCGTACAATTCTTATCACAATCCATATATACATCCATTGTGTCAAGCACATATGTACATTTGTTGCCATCATCATTCTCAAAACATTTGCTTTCTACTTGAGCCCTTAATATCGGGTCCTCCTTTTTCCCCCTCCCTCATGAACCCTTCATAATTCATAAATTATTATTATTTTGTCATATGTTACACTGTCTGTCCGACGTCTCCCCTGCCCTCTTCTCTGCTGTCCATCCCCCAGGGAGGAGGTTATACGTAGATTCTTGTAATCGGTTCCCCCTTTCTACCCCACATTCCCTCCACCCTCCAGGCATCGCCACTCTCGCCACTGATCTTGAAGGAGTCAACTGTCCTGGATTCCCTGTGTTTCCAGTTCCTATCTGTACCAATGTACATCCTCTGGACTAGCTAGATTCATACGTAAGGCAGAATTGGGATCATGATAGTGGGGGGGGGGGCGTATAAGAACTAGAAGAAAGTTATATGTTTCATCGTTGCTACCCTGCACCCTGCCTGGCTCATCCCCTCCCCACAACCCTTCAGTCAGGGGGTGTCCAGTTGCCTACCAATGGGCTTTGAGCCTCCACTCTGTACTCATCCTCATTTACAGTGGTATGGTTTTTTTGTTCTTTGATGCTTAATACCTGATCCCTTCGACAGCTCATGGCCACACAGACTGGTGTGCTTCTTCCATGTGGGCTCTTTTTGGTTTATTATTATTATTGTTTTGGCTTTTTAAGACTGGCCTCTAAGAGGTCGCCCCATGTCTAAGTAAGGCAGAGTCCAGCCAGTGATTGGGTAGGGGTTGTGCCCAACCACCTTGAGCCAGTAAGGGTCTCCACTGGTGGATTTATTTGTGTGGGGGTAGTAAAGAAATGTAGTCAAGATTCAAACTGCTTGCAAGTCTATCTCAGCTTTTCTTTTGCATTGGCCTATCCACCTCCCGAACAGTCTGGAGGTCAGCACGTGGCTCCCTTGGTCCCTCTTGGGCTGTCTTGAGCTGTTGTGAATCTGCTTATTCACAACCACCAGCGCAGGCCAGAAAAGCCATTGTCACCATGGGCAATACCCACTGCCCCAGTCCACTGAGCAAGAGAAACTACTGTTGTTTGTGGCCTGTCCCAGCTCCGGAAGGACTGGGCTTCCTTCCTCCACGGGCTCTGTGGGAGATGCGAGGAGCTCCAGGCCCACCGTGGGCCACGTCCCACTGCTCTCATCCACAGTCCGGCAGGCTGGAAGCAGAACCACGGCTCTGGTTTGATTCTTGTGTCTGCCTGGTCACTTTCCAATTTCATCCTTCAAGGGGAGAGGATTGGTCAGTCACCTCCTCCGGCCAAAGGCAGAGGCAGAGGTGTCCCTCCTCATCACACCTCTTGTTGATAAATTGGGCTTCAGAACACACACCCGTTGGCTCCAAAGACATTTGTTTTCTCATTGAGCACCCTCTGCTTGAAATGGAAGCAGTTCACTTAAAACGCTTCAGAAGGTTGGTTGGCCTCAGCAGGGGGGAAGCCTGTGGGTCCCCAAGGACGGGATCCTCCTGGCGGAACCAGGTTCACGATGACATTGTAACACTGAGCCAACGAGAACTCGGCCCTTGGCCATGGCAAGCTGTGGTTTTAGACAAAATCGGCCAGAATGGAATCTGAGGCGCAGGAAGGGCTCAAGCACAGACTCCACAAACCAACAGCGTGCTCTCCAGGGGCTTAAGTAAAACACGTCAGACCCGTGTGCTCGTATGATCCTAGTTCTGTAAAAGGGTAACCCTCTATACAATTGCTCTTTCACACAAAACTCTCTCTTAGACACACACACACACAGTAACCCTCCCCCCCACCCCCACCTGCCACCTTAAAAAAAGTGCTTTTGCTCAGATTATACTCGTGTCTTCCTGATGTATACAAAATGCTGTGCAGAAATATGACCCAGGTTACCGTGAGAGAGGGACAGACCCCGCCTGGCACCCCCTCCAGCAGAGGAGCCCTGCAGAGCTGGGGCCTGTGCTGGCTGGGGACGTGCAGGCTGAGCACGCAGACCTGCAGGAGGCATCGCATTCCTCTGTGCCAGCGCTTCCCAACGTGGGTGATGCAGGGCGGTACCGGAACCGCCCAGGGGCCCTGCAGAGCAGATGCTTGCGCTGTATCCTGGGTTACAGTGGTCTGCAGACAAACGTTTTCTAAGTCTTTTTTTTTTTTTCTTCCTGAACATGGGGAGATAGACCAAATAAGTGTGGGATCCCACGCTGTATCCAGAGTCCCAGGTGTGTCACTTGCACAGCTGACCTTCTGTCATCGTCGCTTCCCGAGAGCCCATTCACACAGACCAGGTGTGCCAGCCGTGGGAACGGGCTCGGTTTTTCATCTCTCATCTTTTGCTTTGCAGCGGCACTGGCTACCCCACTCAGGTTTACAAAACTGCCAGCCCAGAGACGCCTCGACCCCCACCGCTGGCCCAGGCCAGCCCCTTCCAGCTCTCCGCCTCTGTCCCCAATTCCTTCTTCTCCAAGCAGCCTGTGCGCAATAAGCACTCCACAGGGTGGAAGAGAGCCGAGGAGCCCCCGCCACGACCACTTCCCTTCACCGACCCAAAGAAGTAAGTGCCTGGATGCCCAGCCAGTCGCCCGTCCAAGCCCACCTGGGCATCCCTGGGCCAAGGGAGGGGGCTGGGCCTCCTAGGGCCTTCAGCAGCCAGCTCTGCGCCAAGTCTCCGTCTGCACAGCAACTACGCCGTGAAGCAGACAGAGCTCACCGCCTCCAGGGCTGGCCGTGTGGCCGGGAGACGGGTCATCAACATGGCAAATAAGAAAACCAGCAAACCTAGTCACTGGCGTGAAGCTGTGTGGCTTCTGCGGGGAAGAACATTCCAGACAGAACAGCAAGTTCAAAGGGCCTGAGGCAGCAACATGGTTGAGCCACCTGTGTGAGGCAGGCCAGTGTGGCCAGGCCAGTGGACGTAAGCAGGGGAGAGAGAGGCCTGGGGTCAGAAAGGCGGTGGGGACAGCATGTAGGGTCTGTGACCATGCATAAATAAGGGCTTCAGTTTTTGTTCTGTGTGAGATGTGGAACCCCAGGAAGGTGTGGGGCAGATGAGGGCATGGACAGTTAGTGCCCTAGGGCTGCCACACAAAGCCTGGCGTCCAGCAGCCCCACGTGAAGGTGTTGGTCTCGCTGCGTACTCAGACGCGGTCTCTCGACCTCCTGGTGGCTCCTGGCCATCTTGCGGTCACCTGACTTGTCACCTGTGCCTGCATGTCACCTGGCCTTCTCCCGGACAGTCCTTCTCTTTTGAGGATCCTGTCTTTGCTGCACTAAGGGCCCACCCTGCTCCAGGACGACCTTGTGTTAACTAATCACGTCTGCAGTGACCCTAGCAGGTCACGTTCTGAGATCCTGGAAGGATGTGAATTTTGAGGGGACTATTGAAACCTCAATAGTAAAGCCACGAGGCTAAAGAGCTCACCCAGGGAAGGCACGCGGCTCAAAGGGCGAGGCTGCAGGCAGAGCCCGCAAAGGAGCCTCTGAGCCCACTGATGACCGCAGGAGGTCTCTCGGGGTTCAGGAAAGGCGGCAGGGCAGGAACTGTGGACCGCTAGAGGGCATGGCTCATGTCTGGAAAGAAAGTGAGAGGCACTTGGCTATGAGTTTTGCTTTAAGGCCAGAAGTAGCCCTGGTCACAGGGCGGCTATACTTTGGCCTGCATCCTTCAAGGTCAGCAGTTCAAAACCACGGGCCTCTCTGCAGAGGCTTTCTCCTTCCATAAAGAGTTCACAGCCCCGGTACCCCACAGGAGCAGTTCTGCCCTGTCCATGGGGTTACTGTGGGTCAGCATCGGTTCCGTGGCTGTGGTTTGGTTTGGGGTCGTGGCTGTGGAAGGGTCCTTGGTGGCACCGTGGGGGGAGCTCCGGGCTTCTCACCAGGAGGTGTGCAACTCAAAGCCCCTGCTGCCTCACAGGAGAGACAAGCCATCGATCCACAGCCTTGGAAACGCAGCTCCTTACTCGTGCTCTGTCCCCAGGGTGGCTCAGAGGGAGCCACTCGGGCAGTGGGTGGCGCGGGGTTTAGTTTTTAACGCAGGTTGGCCCGCACTATCTCACCAGGCTTGGTTCTAAGTCCCCTTCCCCAAGCTGGTTCCCTGAATCCCTGTGACAGCCCCACCCGTGAGGCAGCTCTGCCACTCTCCCCTGGTTGGAGAGGGGAGCACCCTGGCTGAGGGTGACAATGGGTGAGTCCGGGGGCCTGGTCCAAGGTCTTTGCTCTGTTGGGCCTGGACGAAAAGGCGTGGCAGCAGCCCTTCAAATGTGAGTGACACCGGGGCATCGGCATCGAGAAGCCGGGTCCCCAGATCTGTGGGCTTATCCCCACGGGCAATTAGATTTTGATCATGTCACTCCTCTGTTTAAAGCAGTGGTTCTCAACCTTCCAAATGCCACAACCCTTTAATACAGTTCCTCAGGTTAGGGTGACCCCCAACCATAAAAACTATTTTCGTTGCTACTTCATCGGTGTCATTTTGCTACTGTTACGAATCAGATGACCCCTGTGAAAGGGTCGTTCGACCCCCCAAAAGGGTCCCAACCTACAGGTTGAGAACCGCTGGCTTAAAGCTTCCAGCGACTTCCCCAGGGTGGGGCGAGGCCCACTGCCGCTGTGCACAGGTGTTGGTTTCGCACTGCCCAGCACCTCTCTGCCCTCAGACATGCCCAGGGGGTGCCCACCTTAGCCTCCACCTGGGCTCCTTCTCCTGCTGGAACATTCCCTCCAGACCCGCTCCTGGGCTGCCTCTATCCGGGTCAGTAGACGCTGCCTGCCTGGCACTCTGGGCTCTCCGTCAAGGGACAGTCAAGCCACGTGCACGAGGGCCGAGCGCAGAGCAGGAGGACGAGCCCCGGGGTGCTTAAGGGTCTTCGTCTGGAGAGGGGGGTGAGTGGATGCGGGGTGCTGGGAGGGAGGGCTGCATTGCCCCCACCTTTTCCACGTTGGTGACTTCAGTGCGCAGACAGTGTCAGGACCACCCCGGCATCCCATGAGCATGCCATGCTGGGAGAGAGCCCACCCTCCGTTGCCCTGAAGATGCTGCAGCCCCACAGGCAAGGGCCGGACGCCACCCGGAGCTGCCGGCGCTGCCCGTGGAGCGCGTGTCTGGGGCAGGTGTAGGTTCTGGGCAGCTTTGCTCAGGGGTCTCCTGTCACAGGAGACACCCCAAGGGGAACAAGGAGCCAGGCAGCTCGCGGCCAGGGCTGCGCAGCTTCGAGCATCTAGCAGCGGACACCAAGGGTTTGGGCTCCCTACATCCTTTGGCTTGAGGGAGCCCTGGGCCCAGCTCCAAGAACCCCACTGACCCCCTGCTTAAGTGCTTGGCCGCTGACCGGAAGGTTGATGGTTCACAGGCTCCTGTGCTGGAGCTAGGTGCGGCCTTTCAGCTGCCTTAAAGAAGCCTCCCGGGCCGGGCGGGATGGGGAGGCCGTGGTGGGGTGACTGTGCATCAGAGTCCACTCGGCAGCACTAGAGTGGGTTTAGTGTGGTTTGGTCTGGGCACCCACTAAAGTGCAGCTGGGGAGGGGCCGGGGCAGGCCTCACCCAGACCCCCCACTGGCCACTCCTGCCAAGGTCAGTCATTCTTGGAGCTGGGAGATGCACCTGCCACTAGCCACTAGCCACATTGGAAAGCCCCCAGCGTGGCGCTAATCAGCTCCATTAACCAGGTCCCGGGATGGGGTGGGGCTGGGGGCCGCCTCAGTTGGAAGCCAGCACTCCATGTCGTCCACTGGGATGAGGCCCAGCCACTTCTGCCACGGCCAGCGGAGAGAAAAGGAAGTTGCTGTTGGCTGAGTGTGCACCTCACCAAAGCCTTGGTGATGTTTCTGTCCTGTCTTTTCTAATGCAAAATGGTGTGTTGGCAGACGTGGCAAGTCAACTTGGCAAGAACCCTCTGCGTGTGGTCCTTGTGTATCCTTGGCACGGGGTAGAAATCCGCCCCCTCTCCCCCCTGGCCCGACACCCCTCCCCAGAGGCCACGCTGCTTGCTTGCTTCAGCTTCCCTCCAGGAAGTCCGGCGCTTCCCCGGCCCCCTCCTCGCTTGCTGGCGTGGCCGCTTCCTGTGTGTGCCCTTCTCACTTGCTCTCTGTCCAGGTGTGTGACAGTGGGCCCACATGCGTACAGACGTGCAGGTGTTTTCTAGCCTCTGTCCTCCGAGCAACAGGACACGGGGGTGAAGGCCAACCCAGGCACCGTGCCCTTCTCTGTGGCGGATGGGGTGCCGGCTCATGAAGCGGATCCCTTCCCCCCTTCCTTCACGGAGTGGCACTCCCACCCTGTGACCTCACTTCTCCTGCTTCCTCCCTGTGCCCCTCCCCCTCTCCCAGCACAATGCTTTGGGAACCTGCTCCTTGGGTCCTCCTTGTAGATCTGCCTGTTGGCTGGCTGAACATGAGGGTCCTGGGGATGGAATGAGTTCAGTTCCGGATCGGCGGGGTGACTGGTCTGTCGCCTTGGGAAAAAGACGAGCCGGAGCTTCTGCGATCTCTGCATCGCCTTTTCCACACACCTTTTGAAGCCGCCTCGTCTTTGTTTTTGAACCTGAAACTGACATCAGTTCACATTACTGCTTGAAACCCAGGAGCTGGAGCACACGGTGGGAATCCTTGCTGGAGAAAGTGGAAATGATCCCGGTGCTCTGACCCTGAGCTTCCCCTCAGGAGGTCTGTCCCGGCAGCCGCCTGCGGTGATGCCAGGGGGGCTGGAGGTGAGGGTCCTGCAAGATTGGTTCCTAGGAGCCAGGCTGCCACTGGAGACATTTGTTTTAAATAGCACGATGACTTTTTCCGGTTTACAAAGGTCATTTGTGCTTCTTGCAAAAGGAGGGAGAGAAAAACTCTAACTGGCTTCTGAGCGACGTACTCTTTAAATGTCATTTCTCGGCACGCTGCTGCTGCTGCTGTTGCCGCTGCTGCTGCCGCCGCCGCATGTCCGAGCTTGGTTGCGTCTGTGCCCCTCCTCCTTGGTGAAGGCCTCTCTCATTCCCACCGGCCTTCGACTCTCCCAAGCAGGATGTCCTTTGCCTGGACTTGCCCTCCGGCCATGTCCAAAGTTCGTGAGGCATCGCCTCTCCATCCCCACATCCAAGGAGCTTTCTGGCTGTACTTCTGTCCTTTTGTAGGCATTGCTGGTTGGGGCTGGTGGTGGTCTCCTTTTAAGAGACGGGAAAACAGATTCTGGCAGCTCCGTCCAGTTTTCTCACCTCCTAGTGAGAATCCTTGGGGAAAGACAAAGTTTTCTACTCCTGGAATGAGTTACAGCCTTAAAAAACCCCAGGGGCAGTTCTGCCAGTCCTGTAGTTCTACCCAGTTGCCAAGAGTTGGAATCCGGGAGGGAGGGGAAAAATGAGGACCTAATGTCGGGGGTTTAAATGGAGAGAAAATGTTTTGAGAAACGATGTACAAATGCGCTTTACACAATTGATGTGTGTATGGATTGGGATAACCGTTGTATGAGCCCCTAATAAAATGTTAAAAAAGAAAAAAAAAAGAAGTAAATTAGAAAACTCAAAAAACACACACACACACAAAAGAGTTGGAATCCGCTCGTTGGCAGTGAGTGAGTGGACTGGTTGGTTGGTTGGTTTTGAGCGCCCTGTAAGATTTACAGCCTTGGAAACCCACGGGGACAGTGCTGCCCCGTCCTGTGGAGTCACCGTGAGCCAGGGTCTACTGGAGGGCAGTACGTTTTTGAGGAAGAACCCTGGTCCCCAGCGGCGATCGCTGACCATGACGCCATTCAGATGGCTTTCTGCACGCAGACCCGTGTCGTGTGAGCAGAGGTGGGCGTGTCACACACGCAGCTCGGCTCTTGCGTGTGATCGGAGCGAGCCCACTGGAGACTGCAGCATTGACCTGCGGGGAGTCCTGCTCCCTCGTGGGCTGGCTGGGGGCCGCAATCCACGCACTTCCACCTGTAATGCAGGACATGTTCACTGGGCTCTCGCCCTCCTGTGGCTCAGGGCGGCTGGTAGACAGAGCACAAAGCAGACATGCGGAGAAGACAATTGCCGGTTGCCAGTGGCTTCTCTGAGGGGCACACACAGATGCGACCCCAGGCACGGTGCTCACAGTGCCTCTGGCGGCCAGGTGTTTCTTCCCAGGGGCCTGGGGGCTGGCTCAGACCCCCAAAGGTTTGGTTAGTGGCCGAACAGCTCAGTCGGGGAGGCTTGCGTCACAGCACCGCACACCCCAAGTCTGCAGGCCTCCCCTCCTCTACCCTCCACACCCTCACCATCTCACCCCTCGTCCGGGTCTCTGCCTGTTTCCCCCTACACCCCACACCCACACATGAAGGACCTGTCCCTGCTCCCCAGGACCCAGAACAGGCCAGGCACAAAGTTGGTACTTCCAGGAAAGGACTGGTGTGACGGGCGTGGGGAGACTGGCTATAGCCCCTCAGTTCTGCCGGTCTCCTCAGGGCACAGGGGGAGATGGACACCATCCACCCAGGGTGGCCTTCCTGGGTCCAGTCAGGTGTGAGAAAGGGCATGAGGCTCCCCCACGGCCCCTCTGACCTCTGACCTCCTCATTCCAGGCAGGTGGACACCAGCACGAAAAACGTCTTTGGGCAGCCTCGTCTGAGGGCATCGCTCCGCGACCTCCGCTCACCCCGGAAGAACTACAAGTCCACCATTGAGGATGACCTCAAGAAGCTCATCATCATGGACAGCCTGGGGCCTGAGCAGGAGCGAGACGCCGGGGTACGGGGTCCTCGAGACCCTCCGGTCTCTGCTCAGCCCCTTTCCTCGCCCTCTTGGTGTGGGCATCGGAGGCCGCCAAGGCTTGGGGCCATAATCGCTCTTTGGCCGCGAAGTTTATGAGAGAATGAGGTGCCTCGTGTGACGAGGAGCCCCAGCGGCTCTGTGTGTTAGATGGGGGGCTGCTCCCAGCAAGTTGGGTGGTTCACGCCCACTGGTGGCTCTGCCCCTTACCATCTTGGAAGCCCTGTGTGTTCTTTCCCTGCCCTAGAGGCCACTGGGAGTCGGCTTCCACCCCCATGTCAGCGGGTTTGGCTTGGAGCTTCTGAACACCTGTTTTGGAAGGGATTTTACTGTCTCTGGGTCCTCTTTCTTCCTCCTGGAGCCCAGGGTGGTGTGGAAACAGCTCCCAGCCCCAAACCAAGTGACCAGAGAGAGAGACCGAGAAGCAGGCTCTCTTGCCCCGGGAAGGGATGAGGCAAAAGCAGCAGACATCTGTGGAGCCCCGCACTCCGCTTGCTTCTCAGCCCCCAACCCTCTGCTCCATGCCTGGACCAGAGCGCCACCCACCAACCCTTTGTGCCCAGCTGTGCCCACCAGCGTCCCAGGCACAGCCCTGGGTCTCACTGGTCCAACCTGGACTGCCCCACCTACCCCTCCCCACCCCATTAACCAGTACTCAGGACAAGCCTGTCTCTTCCCCAGAGCCAAAAGTCAGCTGGTGAGGGGTGGGCACGGAGCAGGAGACCAGGATGCTGCCAGGGGCAGAAATGCATGCAGGTGTTCAGACAGGAAGCACCTCTGAGCCTTGCCCTCCGCGCACCTGTGACCTCCTGTCCCTGGTGTCTCGGCAGCAGTCCCCACAGAAGAGCCTGCAGCGGACACTGTCTGACGAGAGTCTGTGCAGTGGGCGCCGGGAGCCCAGCTTCGCCAGCTCGGCCAGCCTGGAGCCGGGGCTGCCCAGTGACGTGCTCTTCACCAGCACCGCCGCCTTCCCCTCCAGCACACTGCCTGCCCGCCGCCAGCACCAGCACCCCCACCTGCCCGGCGGCCCCAGCACCAGCCCTGCCACCACCACTGGAAACAGCTTCCCAGAGAAGAAATGTGAGCCTGGGGCCCCGGGCACCTTGGCAGGGTGGCAGTGGAAGGTCAACGGTTAGAGGCCATCTTGGTTGGGGGTCATCTGAGGGGAGGGAACTAAGGTGCACGTGAACCTCGGGGCTAAAGGGTCAAGCTCCAGGGTCACCAAGGAGCAGGCAGTCATTGGCCCAGCCTCAGGGGTCTTGAGAGGTCCGTGTACTGGATGGGGTCACCCCAGGGCCCCTAAGGATTGGGGTACCTTAGCTGTGTCCCCAGCTCCCCACCCTTTCCCCACTGGAGCACCAAGCAGTTACCATGAAAATGTTGATTTACCAGACAGACTCCCTACACCTGCCAGCAGAGGCACGAGAGTGTGATTCGCCCAGCCTGCGTGTCTGTCGCTGCCAGTGCTGACCAAACAGCCCTCCCGAGAGGCCAGCACTGGGCAGGCGGCCTCCAAGGGGCCTGGGCGAGGGTCCTCTCGGCAGTTCATCCCACTGCCTCAAAGGCTGCGATCTAAAAGGCAATACGTTTTGACCAAACTCACAGACACTCAGCACGAACCATTGCCACTCTTATTGGAATCTGATCTTCTGATACTCTGGCTCTGCCATGAGTCAGGCCTGCATCTCTGGACCACAGGTCCCTCTCCTCACACACCACACACTCCGGGGCCAGCTCCCCACCTGTTATCAGCTTGTGGCTGGCCAGTGGCATCTCACACTTAACACCACCAGACCATGTGTACGAACACACGTGTACACACACATGCACATTCCCCCTATGTCCCACGCTGCCATAGGCTTCTCCTTCTCTGTTAGCAGCAACTCCGTCCTGCTGTGCTCAGGCCCCAAACCTGGACATCGTCCAGACCCTTCTCCTCCTCCCGCCTCCACACCCATCTTCCCAGAAATCCTGTGGCCACACCTGTGAAGTAGCTCAGGGTCTGCCCACTGGTCCCTCTGCCGCACCCTCCTGGACCATCTTAGCCTCCCTGCCCCACCTGCCTGCCAGGGCCACTGCCCACCCAGCAGGCTGGTGCTCTGAACACTTGAGTCAGCCCAGAAGTCGCCCATGGCTGCGTCTCCTGGGGAGAAGGCCAAGGGGCCCCCAGATTGCCCAGCGGCCTCGTTGACCCAGCCCGTCCCCTCTGACCTAGACTACTACTCAGCCCTCACCTGCTCGGTGCTAGCCATTGCTCCCAAAACGCACCCAGTCTTGCCTCGGGCCTTTGCACTCGAAAACATCATGAAGAGCGAGCAGTCTGCCACTTGACTCATCATGGGACATGGCTTTGCCTTCCCAAGTTGCTCCTCTAGTCAGTGATCCCTGCCAGGCACAGGATTCCCCATGGCTCCCCTCCTCCCCGCAGAGCAAGGTCTGCGCAGCAGGGCCCGCCCACGCAGCTGGTGGGAATTGGCACGCGCACATACACGTCTTCTCTGCCCCCACCCCGCTGACCTTTCCCCCAGCACTTTCCGTCTTGTCTCAACAGGAGAGATTTGCCCGTGTCTTTGCCCTCCCCTCGTTGTCATTCTCAGCCTTTCTCCCTCTCCCGACACAGCCGCCATCTCTGCCTCAGAGCTCTCCCTGGCTGATGGACGGGACCGGCCCCTGCGGCGCTTGGACCCTGGGATGATGCCACTCCCTGACACGGCGACCGGCCTCGAGTGGTCCAGCTTGGTGAATGCGGCCAAGGCATATGAGGGTAAGCACCTCCCATCCCTCTAGGTATCCAGCCTTCTCTGTTGGCTGAAGGCCCCTGTGGCTTTGAAAGGGGACAGTGGGGTTCCAGAAGCAGGTGTAGGGCTTGATCCCCAGCTACCTCGTCCAGGAAACATGGGCGGTGACTGCCCACCACGTGGGGCCGCAGCAGGGGCGAGGGGAAAGCTTATGTGTTCAGTGTGCCAGCACACCAAGCCTTCCACAGCAGTGCCCAGGTGGTGCCATGGTTGGGCATAGGGCTCCTAATTGCAAGGTCAGCAGTTCAAAGGCTACCAGTCTCTACAGGAGGAAGATAAGAGTTTTCTACTCCAGTAAAGAAACTCAGAGGCGCAGTTCTACTCTGTTCTAAAGGGTCGGTCTGAGTCTCCATCGACTAGATGGCTGAGTTTTTGAGTGAGAATGTTGTGTTTGTTCAGACTTTCTTGGCCTACATATGGCGTGAAGCCCCAGTTCAGGATTGCTTCAGCACACGAGGCTTTGTGCAGATAAAACGTCGGGGGTGTCTGAGGCCAGTGCAGGAGTTCCACAAGTTCAGTCCAGGGCTGAGAGTTTGTTCGCACCAGGGTGGCTGCTAGAGCCCCGGCCATCAGGAGAGAAGACACAACCCAAAGCGCACACCCCTCCTGGCCTTACTTCCCACGTGGCCACATCTAGCGATAGAGGAGGCTGGGAATTGAGGGCACGTGCCCGTCTGGGGTCTGTTACTCAGAAAAGCAGATCACGAAGGACTAGCAGTCCACCATTTGACTCACCATAGGACACAGCCACGTGGCTGTACTTTTCCAAGCTCCCCACCTTTCAGTGATCCCCAAACACAGGGAAGTAAAAGCATTTTGCCACAGACTTTTGGGATCTTCCTTGTACAAACGTATCCCTTTGGCTTATTTTCCCTCCTCTTTCCAGTCACAGCTTGGCTATCCTTCCTCCAGGAAGCCGCCCTGAAAGCCCTCTGTGTAGATCAGACCCCTGCTCTGGGCTCCTGAATCACTGAGCCCTTACCAGTGGTCTCCTTGGCCCGCCCCACCCTCTCAAACGCCCCCTACACTCACGCCCACGCCCTGACCACCCACCCCTATTGCTGTCTTAATGGCATCTCTCACTGGGTGTGCAGCACGGGGTCAGACCCTCACTAGTACAGACCAAACCCTGTCCTGCAGCCTCACCGGCCCCAGGGTGAAGACAGTCTGGCTTCTTGAGGGTCTGGGGCCACCAGGCTGTACCTCTGATGTACCACACAGCCATAGCCACCAGGGCCATTTGGAGACTGGCTATCAGGCAGTGGTTCAACCATGCAGATACCTTTGACCCCCACTGAGGCCTTACGAGCTCAGCGTGGAAGAGCGTTGCTGAGCGGTGCTTCCTGGAGGAGCTGGCTGAGAGCCAACCCTAGTGAGCATCTTCTCTGACGCAGGTGCATAACTCCCACTCCCACTGAGATCTGGCCAGGCCTAAGTGACCCTTCAGAAACATGGGCATAGGAAACCAGAGGCTGAGAAAGAACAAAAACAAACTTGTACACTTCTGAACCTATTGCTCGTGTATTAATTAAAATAAACGTGCCCTGGCATTTGCTGAGATGAACTCTGTAAGATGCAGAGCTGTAAGGGTGGGATTTGGTCACACTGAGGGTGGTCATTGGGGAAAGGGGCCCCTCAGGCCTTGTAGTTGGCATTATACGTTGGGTGCTAGCCCCTGTGGAAGTCAGCCCTGCATTACTTGGCACCACATGGAGCCCCTTGGCTAAGATATCGGTAACTTGATTCAAAGAAGACCTTTTCTTTGAGCGTCACGCGGTCCTGTGTGGCCCTGAGCAGTCTTGCGCTCAGGCGGACATGTGAGAGAAGCAGAGTCAGCATTAGAACAGGCCCGGAGTAATTGTTAGAGGTGAGATCCTCTAATGAATGCAAACCCAGTGGCGAAACTCTAAAGCAGAAACAGGGCTGCACAGCCAGCCATGCCCCTGCCCCCGTCTAGGCTGGGTCCTCTAGAGAAGTAAAGCCAGGGACGTGCGTAAGCAGAGATCTAGAAAGAGAGATAAATTCACATCAAGAACGTGGCTCTCCAGAAAACGCTCTCACGTAGCTTTGAGAGTAGTGAACCCAAGATCCACATGAACGCCACAGGTTGCAGAGGCAATTGAATACAGGTCAACAGGTCAAGCTTGTGCCTGGGGAAGTAAATGAATCCGAGGGTGGCCAGTCAGATGGCTGGCCACTGATATCTCCCAGTGTCGCCAGGCAATATGGCAGGCTGCTGACCCAAATCCAATGAGCCAGAGGTCAGTGAGCCAGGTGAAGGAGCCAGGCCCAGAAAAAAAGCAACCAAGCTTTCCACAGCACCTGTTTCTCTAGGAAGTGGCCCATACCCCTGAGGAAATAACCTTTCAATTGCACCAGGGCTGTGACCTGAGTGTGGGCCTTACGCTTCACCCTAATCTTCCCACGACTGCTTGGCTGTCCACAGCAGATTGCATCATGCAGTTGATTGTGTTACCTTAAGTGACATCACGAGGAATTACTAGGCCCTGAACCACTGGGGACCCTGATGCAGGCAAGTTGACACAAACCCAGCTGTCACTTCCCCGAAATGTGTATTAGTGATTAGTGATTAGTGATTGGGATGATCCACAAGTTCTTGGCTACTTGTCCCTCCAGGAGGGGAACGTAATTCCCCTACTGGGGGGTGACTGGCCTACAACAGAGCATCAAAAGAGGGAAACCTGCAGACATCCCTTTATCCAAAGATCAGGATCCACCTACCCCACAGTGACACACGTGGGCCTCAGATCACCTCCTCCCCCAAACCCATGGCAACGCAGACAGCTCTAAAGCACCATGCCAGTATCTGGCACCAGAATTGGGATGAGTTTCTGCTTGTTTGTTGTTTCATAAGTCATTTTGGGGGTCTCTTACATATAACAGTCCGTACATGGGTTATATCAAACAGACATGTACAAATGTTAGCATCAACAATTTCAAAACATTGGCTTTCTTCTTGAGCCCTATGATATCAGCTCCTCTTTATTCCCTCCCTCCCTCACCCTACCGTCCCTTGAACCCTGTATATATTATGTGTTATTATTTACACATATCTTACACAGCCCATTCTATCCCTTCACCTATTATCCTGGTATTCATCCACCTCAGGTGGGGGTTATCGCCATCATTGCTATCCATTCCCCCTTCCTCCCCCTTCCCTAGCCCTACCCTCCTGGAACCATTGCTCCCATTGCTGTTTCTAAGGGGGTTTATTTGTGGGACATGCTTTTGTTCTGTTGGTTTCTTGGGTGTACTACTTGGTTAATTCACATGTGCTTTTCAAGGGGGTAGAAGTGATGAAGCACACGAGAATGGAGGCGCTGTCTCTGGTCAGAGGAGGCCAGGTGAATGCCCTCGGGGTCTCAGATTCTGTCAAGACGAAGGAGCGCATGATTGAGCAAAGTGGGACAATCCAGCTCATGTGTGTCATGCAGTTTGGGGCCCCTGTTGGCATCTCGGCTTTGCTCTTCACCGGGTTCCGGAAGATGTTAGCGTTAGAGGGAGCACGGCAAGGCGGCTATCGGGTATCTGTAAGTCCAAGATGATTTCAAAATCAAACGTTAAAGTATCAGGGTGGGTGAGCGGGAGGCTGACGGGGCACCGGGAAACCATTTCGGGGTGGGGGCCATTACCTTGGTCATGGACTGCTCTGCAGTGGACACGTGTCAGAGCTCTGTCGGGCGTCCGCTGTGAACATGCAGTGATTGTAAGTCACTGCCCCTCAGGCGACACGCTGTCCATGTAAAGTACGGGGGCGGGGAGGATGAGCATCAGGGCACAAGCAGGCCGGTGGGGAGCATCAGCTCTCGGTGGGTTCACGAGGACCCAAACGGGCAGCTGAGGAGCTTGCTCACGTTAGAGCATTTCCTGCATTCTCACCAAGAACAAACACAAAACCCAAGGTAGCGAGAAGACACCCCGAAGGTCGCTGGAAGATGCTGGTGATGATGTCTTCATCAGGTGCCATGGGTCCGTCTGACTCAGCGCCCCTCCTGGCTTCGTGTCCGAGCCCGGTCCGCGGCGTTGTCTGTCCGCCTGAGCTGCGTTAAGATTGTGTGGGAGAACAAACAGACATTTAGTCGGCAAAGCATCAAAGACCCTATTTTTATAAAAGCCCCTTGTTGAGTATAGTTGCGTAGCTGAAAGAGCAGCCAGGAGAAGAGAGCAGAGAAACAGTAGATAGGATTAGATTGCAGGGTTTAACATGTTGCTATTGGAAAGGAGACAAGCCCCTCACCACAATCACCAGAGGGTAAGTGACCTTTAGACACATCTGGCTTTGATTGGAACAACTGATAAACAATGTCAACATCTATCTTATTTCTTTCAGAACATTTTATTTTCCACATTCATAATAATAATAATAATAATAACAAAAGCCTGGCATTACCTTACAAAAAAAGATTGTGTGGGAGAATGCCCTGGCCTGTCCAGAAACACGCACCGAGGTCCATGGAAGGGAAGCCGTACATCTCTCGAGCACTGTTCCAGCCCGTCTCCTCCCTCAGGGTTTCTGAGCCTCATCCTTTATGGGAACAGACAGACGTCTCTCTCTCTGGGAGCAGCTGCTGGGTTTGAACTGCCGACCTGGTGGTGAGGGCGCCTTCTCAGGTGTTTTCTTCATGCAGCCCGCTGCCCTCACACTGATACCAACTCGCAGTGACCATGTCTATGTTCTATAGGGAGCAGGCACCCTCTCTCTCTCTCCCAAAGGGTAGATATGAGCCGTTGGCTTTGTGGTGAGCACTATGCCCCTCTCAAATGGTTAGTGGGGGAAGTCCATGCAGAGACGAGGAGAGAGTCCGTGTGAACACAGAAAGACAGGCCTGGGCTTCTCACTGTGCCCTTCTTTACACACACACACATTGAAAAAGCGGAATGGGGGTGGGGTGATGTGGCCAGGCCCCCTGTAGGGCCCATAGGCGCCTCCTTCATTGCCACCACCCACCCTGTAGCCTGCTGAACCAAACACTGCTCAGGTGTGGACTGTCAGCAGCAATTTACCAAAACCTTACATTTAAAAACATGGCCTGGGACCCCTCACACAGATCTGGCTGTGAAAGTGACGGGGGTTGCAGCAGGGGGGTGGTGGTGGTGAGGACTGCCATTCGCAGCATCCCAGAGCCAGACAAGGCCACCGCCCACCCTGCCTCCCAGCTCTGGCACCGGCTGCCCCTCCCACACCACTCTGCACTTCCGCACCCCCCTGCCGTGGGGATGAGCAGGTACTTGGGGTTGTGTGTGATGTCCTGGCAGCATCGTGGTTACACAAGGTCAGTGGTTGGAAACCACCAGGCATCCCCCAGGAGAAAGGGGAGGCTTTCTGTTCCCACTGAGATTGACTGTCTCGGAAACCCTAGAGGCAGGTTGGTTGGACTCAGTACGTTTTTTTGTTTCCCCTCCAACCAGCTTTACTGAATGTAGTAAAATTTGATACACAAAGTATGTGGACATGCAGCTTCAAAACACGATCCTTTCGTACCAGCATTTTGATAAGGTTAGTCTACGGAGTGCCTATTCTGAAATAAACACAGAAATATGCAGTCTCAAATGCTTGCAAGTAGCCACCTAGGATACAGATGTTGGCCTCTTCCCAACAAAGAAAATCAAGGACAAAAGCAAGTGGCGGGGTCCAGAGGACTACCAGGCCGCAGGTACCACCGCCTCAGGGTGACCCTGACACCCGACCAGGACGGGGCCTGGTTACCTGGTGACCACAGAGGCTCCCGGACAGAACGGGAGCAAATTCAGACTCCAGGTGGGAGAAGAGCCTCGTGGAACCCCGAGCCCGGCCCTAAAGCACTTTACTCTGAACACGGAGTCCTCTCGGAAGTCACCTGACAACCAAACAGAACTCACTCAGGGCCGTCGGAGTGGGGAGTGGGCTCTTCCCAGGAGTGGGTGGCCGCCCCTCGCCGCCCTCCCCCAGAGCAGCTGGTGGCTGTGAGCTGCTAGCCTTGCTGCTCGGCAGTGGGGGGGCGGGGGGGAGCGGGAACGGACGGACTGTGGCCGGGGTCATGACATGGGGCACACACTGTCCACTGGGAAACCGACTTGCTTCACCAGCTTTGCCTGAGCGGCGAGGCACGGACTGTCGACAAGACAGGGAACCTGGAGCGCGCTGAGCGGCAGCCGGGCGCAGCAGGCCGGGAACTGCCCTGCCAAGAGGCCCTTCCGAGCTCGGCCTCCGCGATGGCGTCCTGGTTCTCTGGATCATACGGTTCCGGAGCGACCTGACAGCTCAGTGGGGTCAGAGGTTAGCATGGTGTCTTGCTGGGCAGCACCGGAGTCATCACCGCCCCCTCCGCATACTCAGCCGGCAGGGTACCCAGCCGCCCAGGCTCAGTGGACAGCTTCTGCATCATCCTCCCAGTGTTGCTCCGGTCGCCTCCATCCTGTCCCTCGGTCACAGGGCGGGCGTGGTTGGTCTGCTCTGGGGCAAGAGTTCACTCTAAGTGCCTGTGTGACCTGGCAGGTGTGTGAGAGAAATGGTCTTGGGTTTGAGGGAGCGGTTGCAGGGGGAGGTGTGGCTTGACCTCTTGCGCACCAGGACTCAACCTCCACCCCCCTCCCTCACTCTCTCCCTCTCCCCACAACAGTGCAAAGAGCCGTCTCTCTCTTCTCTCTACATGACCCAACCCTGAGCCCGGACATCCCACCTGCACACAGCCCTGTGCACAGTCACCTGAGTCTGGAGCGGGGGCCCCCGACCCCCAGGACCACCCCGACCATGAGGTGAGGTTCCCTCAGGACCACCTGGGGCCCAGCTCTTTGTGCACTGGGGACCAGCAGTGACCAGAACTCCCCCTTCTTTGCCGGTTCACCACATGGCTGTGATGGTTCACATGGTGCCTCTAAGACTGCCCTTCCCCTTGCTTCAGCTCCTCTGCCCTCAGACCCCATCCCTGCCCCTCAGTGACTCCGTGGGCAATGTCTGCTCGCCTGTCTCCTGCCTCTCACTGACTTTAGATGCACCTCCACCCAGGATTGGACTCCACTGTCCCCCACAAAGCACCACCATGCTCTGCAGGGTGGTGGCCTCTGCCACCAGGCAGTCCCGTCCCCTGCTGTGAAGGGTGGCTGCCTGGTGTCCGCCCCTCTCCCTCAGCTGCCAGGGATGCTGCCACGGTGCTCCCGGACCCTTCAGACCACAGGCACGCCCCACGATGCCCAGCTCCCCCAATGAGGATCAGGCTGGCCAGAGGAGGAGCCTCAGCCAGTGGGCCTTGTTCAAATCCCAGGAGCAGCAGGGGGATGTGCCTGGTGCTCTGCTCTGGTGGTCCTCCTGGGGGGCTCCCAGGCGCAGGGAGCCTGAGGTTGGAGCTGCGTGTGACCTGTGTCGCAGAGCGGGCTCTCAGCAAGGGGTGGGCGACACATCAGGACACAGGCCTCCAGTGTGAGGCAGCCACACGCACAGTGCCCCTCTGGGCAGGCACAGCCTGCCTTCTGGAGGAGGGCGACACAGGGAGGAGCCGCCCCTCCTAGCACCCCCAGGGCACCTGCAAGAACAACGTGCCCGAGCCCTGGGGGCAAAGGTGGCTGTGCTCTGCCTTCCCCATAAGTGTGAACAGCCACTTCCCAAAGGGGCTGGTGGCCCCCAGCCTGACCCTACCGCCTGTGCTCACAGCGAAGAGCCGCCGCTGGATCTGACGGGGAAAGTGTACCAGCTGGAGGCCATGCTGAAGCAGCTGCACACAGACCTCCAGAAGGTGAGGCACCCCACCCCGGACACACACACTCGCACTCCCCAGACCCCAGGGAGGGCCAGCCTGGGGGACCGTTTCCAGGACGCCCGAGGGGAGGGCTGAGCCGGTGACAGACAAGTGCTGCTCGCTACCCTCGTGGCAGAATGCCTCCCTTGCCCAATGGTCGCCAGCCATTCTGAGGGTCTTCAGCCTGTAGCCTCCAATCATCTCCCTCCCTCCCTCCACCAGGTGTCTGTGTAAATGTCCCTCCTCTAATGAGGCCCCAGTCTTAGTGGGTTGTTAGGTCCCACCCCCACTCGGTGTGACCTCCAATCTGGAGCCACCTGCAACCACCTGTGTGCAAAGGCCACGTGCAAAGGCCATGTCCACTGGCTCGAGGGGACACGCTACCCTGGGACTGCTGGCGAGCCAGAGCTCGCCAGCCACCCAGCAGAGACCTGCTCCCATTGGAGGTGTCCGTGTGCCGAGAAGCCCAGCAGGGCCACCCTCGGGCACCTGGCCCACACCGCCTCAGCCCAGGCCTAGACTGGCCTGTCCGCAGCAGGACAGCCAGACAGCTAGACAAACGCCCAGCTGAAGCCTGCCTGCTCCTGGACGGCCGCAAAAAGCCGACGGCTTCAGTCAGGGAAGCATGACTTCAGGACAGACGCACAGCCCGCCGCCTGTGACAAGGGCAGATCCCCAGCGTGGGCCCACAGCTGCCTCTGGAGGTGACCCTGCCAAGGGCCCATCTCTGGGGAGGCCGGAGGAAGAGGAGGGACATGCCCTTGTTGCTTCAGGGGCTTGGGGATGAAGAGCTGAAAGCTGGTGGCAGAAGTTGACGTGTCCGTCAGTCAGCACAGGAGCGGAGGGGCCCCGTTCAAATTCCACTTCTCGCTGCGTGGGCCGGGCAGGCAGCTGCAGGAGGACGGGTGGTGTAGGACAAGGTGTGGGGATGTCCTGGGTCCATAGGCCAGCAGCACCCCCCATGTGGTCTCCTTGCCTGGTGCCCAGGTCCTGGGGCTACTGCAGGGATAAAAGGTGGTCAGTGTACTATGAATAGGGTTGTCTGTGGTACAGCGGGCATCCTCATTGTCCCCCTCAGTTAGAGCTGAGGAACTCGGGGGGCCCAGAGGGGGCAGGCCATTCACCCGAGGGCACTTGGCTTTCGGGAAAGAAGCGGCGCTGGGACCTGGGCCTGGCAGCTCAGCCGGGCTCCAGCAGGCCCCTGGCAGACACACCCTCCCTCCCTCCGGTGCAGGAGAAGCAGGACAAGGTGGTGCTGCAGTCGGAGGTGGCCAGCCTGCGGCACAACAACCAGCGCCTGCAGGAGGAGTCCCAGGCCGCCAGCGAGCAGCTGCGCAAGTTCGCGGAGATCTTCTGCAGGGAGAAGGAGCTCTGAGGCTCCCGCTGACCCACCGCGGCAGACTGGGGCTCCTGCTCTCCAGAAATCACCCAGCAGGGAAACTTGGGGCTGCCCAGGCTGACCTGTTCTCTGGCTTTCTCCCTGCCCCCACCCCCAGCTGCCCCTCAGGGCAGGGCCACCCCCAGGGGCTCACCCCACTGTCCCCATCCAGCCTCTTCCTAGGACCAAGCCATCAAACTGTAGGAAGGGTTCCAAATCTCCGAGCTCAGAGTCCACTGGCTAGGCGTCTGCACCACGGATGCCCCCTGCATGACACATCCCAGTGTGACACCCCCCCACCCAGAGAGCTGAGGGGACCGCCCCACACCCAGTGTGCTAGCCCCCAGAGCAGGAATCACCCTCCCCTACTCCTGGGCTGGAAACGGCTGGGGCACCCAGAGCGGGGTGGTTTCTACAGTCTTGCCCTCAGCCCCCTCCCCCCCACCATTGGGGGGGTGCTCTCCGGGCTTCCCACCTGCAGCAGCAGCCTTGTTGCTGCCCCAGAGGGCTCCTGGGGCCTTGGGGACAGGCTGGAGGAAAGGCACCCTCCTTGTCTGCTTTGCTCCTTTGAGCCCCAGCCCCAGCACTTTCACTGTGCTTCCCAAGGAGTGACCCCAGCCCAGACGCAGGCTCTGGAAAGGCAGTGAGGCAGCCAGGCTGGTGTGGAACCACGCCATTCACCCAGGAAAGGTTCGGTTTTGTTTCTCCCTTCTTTAAGAACACAAATATATATATACATATATATATTTATTTTTTCACCTAGAGCTGCGCCAGTACAGGTGGGCCTGGCCATAGCCTGCCGACCCCCCTCAAGCTGAGGACGCAGGCTGTAGGAGAGGGAGCCTGACTTGCAGAGTGGCACCCACTGGGCTGGGAGCCAGGGGAGCGCCCCCTCACTGATGGAGGGGCCCAGGTTGGGAGGCGAGAGAAGCAGGCACTCAGTGCCCCCCATGATCGCCCTCCCAGCCCTCGGGCAGCACAGAAGCCCCTCTGAGAACCCTGGGGCAGCTCCTAACCTCGGGGATGGGGTGCTGCCCAGTGCTCTTCCACCCAGGCCGACTACTGTGATGTCTGCCCCACCCACCCCTCTCTGGGAGTTCCCCAGACCTGAACCTGGAGCTTTTTTTTTTTTTAATTGTCAACCCCTCCTCATCTTCAGATCATTCTAATCATTTTGGGGACCTAATCATGTACATTGACAGATGTAAATTATGATTTTTTCCCTACTTTTTTAAGGATCACTACAAATCTATTTAATTTGAGGTTGGTATTCTATCTTAATGGCTGAAGATAGAGCAGTTTTGGTTTTTCCCCTCCTATGTAGATTTGTTTCATTTGGATTTTTCTGTTATTTTTCTCTGTTGCCTTTTTTATTGTTTTTTCCTTCCTTGTCTTGAGATTTTCGGGCATGTTTCTGGAGGTTTCAAAGAAAATAAATGTTTCATAGAAATAGCTCATGTGCTTACTCAGCAGGAAGAGGTAGGGTGTGCCCAACACAGGTCCCCTCCCCTCAAACCTGTGTGTGTCCACGCAAACTCACACTGACACCCACGCACACTTCCCTCAGAACCAGGAAACGCCAGCTGCTTGTCCCGGGAACACAGTGGATGGAAATCCAAGGCCCTAACCCTTACGGGGAGGGGGCTCCTACCTGCGTGGTGTCGGGGAGAGGGGGGTTGTGGGGTGTCCGGTGAAGGTCTACACACCAGAGAATCCCTAAGCTGGGTGGCCAACGGAAGGGACCTGGCCCACCACCATCTCCAACTCCCTTCCCAAAACCTTTTTCCCAGGGGGGGTGGTTTGCCCACAGGGGAACCCGCCGTTCACAGCGAAGTGGAGCTCCAGACAGGGCTCGCCGCCCTCAGAGGCCCCCTCTGGCCTGTGCCCCCAACACCAACACGGGGATACACACGCCCTCGTGGCAGCTGCGAAAGGCACCTGCCAACACTCCCTGCTCTCCCCCCTCCATGCCCACTCCCTGCCACCACTGGGTTCCCACCCACTCTTCTGGGATCCCCTTGAGCTCCCACACCCCCTACGCGCTTGGTCTAATCTGCCCTGGGGTCCTCGCTCTCCCTGCCCCCTCCCCAAGTCTCCGGCTAAATAATGCAGTCGGATCCCCAGCTACCTCCGCATGCTTGATATTTTTATTACTCTTACGCCCCGCCCGCCCCTGGCCGGTGGCGTCCCCCTTAATTCCTGCGGCCTCGCCTCTCTCCAGCCGCCCCTGGGCGCCATTCTCCCCGCCGTCTCTTCCTCTCTGTGCCAAGGCTCGGCCTCACCCATCACCCGGCCCAAGGCTCGGTCTGTGGGGCTTCGGGGAAGGGGGTGGGGGGCCGCTCTCTTCCCTCTGGCCATCACCCCTCCCCCACTCCACACCCGGAAACCAGAGCCCGGATGGAGGCCCCTGGTCAGGGGTGCCCAGGCCTGCTCCCCACCCTGTCTCCCGGAGGGAGGGGCCGGCCCTTCGCGTCCCTTCCCTTCCCCCAGTTCCCAGCCTCGCGGCAGCTGCTGCAGTCTGTTGCCAGGGCAACCACAGCTGGCTGGGCGGGGAGCCCCGCACCCCATCCCCCTCCTTTCCAGCAAGGCGAGGCAGCGCTGGGACAAAGCCAGCCAGAGGCAGGGTGCAGGGGAAGAGGAGGCGGGCAGGCTCCAGCTGTTCACCTCGCTTCCCCCCTAACCCCCCAGCTCGGAGACACCCCACACCGGCCTGCAGGAGGAGGCAGTTTTGGGCAGAGGGGTCAGGCCCAGTTTAATACACAGAACAGGTTAATTCACAGCAGAGGCAGGCAAAAAAGGAGGCTCACTTACAAGGGGGGCACGCCTGGAGTCCGGGGAACCCCCAAACCCACCACCTCCCCCACTTGCCGTCTCAATTTCCCTTTTTTTTTTTTTTCAACCCGAACAATAAACACACACAACCACAAGAAATAACCACGGCCCCACCACCCCCCAAAATGGCCAGAGCGATGGCGTGGGGCAGCCCGGCCTGGCCGGGTGGGGAGAGGGGCTGTGAGGGGGACACCAGGCCTGTAGTCTGTGCTTCTCATCCCAGCGGGCGGCCGCTGGGCAGGGGCGCCTGGCCACACCCACCAGCCAGGGCAGGCATGGGGGTATGGGGGTGGGCGAAGGAGAGGGGTTGAGGGGGCAGGGGCAGTTCAAAACCATGGTTCACGTCATGCAGTATCCACTGTGGGCACTGTGCCCACCCACCTGAGCACAGGGCCATGGTGCTCACCTTTGGTGGGCGGTGGGGATGCTGCTGTACCAGCTGCAACTCCAGAAAGGGGACTGGGGGGGGTCCGGGGTGGGGGGGTGGGCAGGCAGGAGGTTGGCATGGACTGACGCCCGTGGCTCCCAGCACTGCCCCTCCACCCAGCAGGCCTGATAGGACTCTTTGTATATATTAGTTTCTCTTTTTAACTTTTTGTCTTTTTCTTTAGAAAAAGGCTCCGTCCACGTCCCCGGCTGGCATCCGCTCCTCTGTGTCCGCCCAGAGGCGGGATATGGCTTTGATGGGAGCAGAGCTCCTGGTGCCCGTTTTGCCAAGGGATGGGGAAGGGCAGAGGAAGGGAGCGAATGCCCTGCTTGCTCAGAGAGGGCAGGGGTGGCCCAGAGCCCTCTTGGGCCTCTCCTGTCCGGGCATCTACCACAGCCCAAGGGGTGGGCGAGAGGAGAGGACTTGGAAAGGCCGGTGGCAGTCCAGGTGAGCAGGGCCAGGCTTAGGTGAGAGTGATGTACGCAGAGGCCTTCTCTTTCAGGTGCCGAAGACACAGGTGACAACTCCAGCTCCCTGCAGGGAGGGTGGGGCCTGAGGGGGCTGCCCAGCCTCTCTCTGCAGGGTCACAGGCTTCTCCCACTTTCCAGCCTCCCTACCGGCCCCCCACCCCACCTCTCACCTTCAGGGGGCTCCGCCATGGGGGGGCTCAGGCAGTACATATGGTAACCCCGATCGCAGTCATCACAAAACAGCAACTGGTCCTGGGGGGTGAGACCCGCCCAGCTGGCACCCTGGGGGCACGGGCACCAGAAACCGGGGTGGGGGGCAGGGGCTAGGTCAAAGAGGTCTGAGGGAGGGGGTTCCCTCCAAGAGAATGGGATTGGAGAGAGTCTTCACACCAGGGGGCTCTGCCGGGCAACAAGACCTTGGGGAGAGCCATGGGGCACCGTCTGCCAGGCTGGGAGGGCCTGCCTGTGACCGCTGCTGATGGCTCTCAGGGGTCTGTCTGACCCAGGCTCTGGGTTCGGGTCTCTGAGCTCGGCAGTTAGGTCTCCGCTGTCATCATGTGGAACAAGGGCACCTACCTCGGCGTTGGGAGGAGTCAGACACGGTGTTTAAAGCACCCAGCTCAACTATACACTAACAATGACAGTAACACTCGTTCCAGGTGCTGGTGGGCAAGGATGTGGGCTCGGTGCCAGGAGGGGAGCCCACATGGCCGGGGCCCGGGGGCAGGCGGGCACTCACGTCGTTCTCCGAGGTGCCGCATAGGCTGCAGGACTTGCACTCGATACACTGCCAGCGGTAGGTCCGCACGGCCGCCGTCATGTTCACCGTGAACTGTAAACACGAGGGGTGTCCTGGGGGACCAGGGGGCAGGGGGCTGTTAGGACGTTGCCGTGCCCCTCCCTCAAGAGAAACTGCCCGGCCCCCATCGCTGGCTTCTAAGGCTAAGACTGCCCCCACACCTCCAATCCCCATAGCCACGTCCCACCGGTGCCCAGCAAGCAGCCGTGCTGAGGCTGCCATGCCCTCTCCACTAGACACACTTCAACCACTCTGCCCCAGAAAACCATAGCAACCGTGTGCCGTACCACAGTTCCGTGGCAACCACATCCTGCCACCCACAATACCGTGGCAGCCACATCTTGTGAACCAGAGCAGCCACATCCCATTGCAACAGGATGGCTGGCAGGTGCTAGCTACTCACCATGTAGCCTGGCAACCCCACTTCCATGCCACCACAGCCCACTGGATGGCCTGCAATGCCACCCTTCCACTAGTCGGATACCCAGACCCCACAGTCCACCACACCATGGCGCCCAGCACCCTCAGCCCATCACTACGCTGCCCAGTGCACACCGCCCACCAGCCTGGATGCGTACCATGCCACTACACAGTTACCATGACAACTGGCCTTCACTCCCCACAACACCATCATGACAACCACACTCCATTACCTACCGTGCTGAGGCAACCACAGTCTATTACCCACAACTCCACCACGGGAGACCTCATTCTACTAACCACAGCTCTACGGCAAGCGCATTGGGTTACCCGCAGTGCCCAGGCGGCAGCGGTCCATACTCACAGATCAGAGCCACAATCGACTAGCCACGCTGTCTGACAACCACCTTGCACTGCACGGCCCGACTCCTGGGACTTCCCAAGCAGCCATGACAGCGACATCCCACCATTCCCAACGCCTCAGTGGCGCACCCCGCCTTTCCCCACACTCCCCAGCCATGGGCGTCACCGGGCACTCTGCATCCCCCGCCCCAGGTCTGGGCCCCCCTCCACCACAGGCCCCTGAGACCTCACCTGAACGGCCGCAGTCAGCACAAGAGATGAGGTCCTCCGGGCAGCCTGTCTTCTTGGAGCCGCCCAGGCAGAAGTCACAGTACCCGTTGGGGATGACGGTGCCGTCAGGGGCCTTCTTGGCTGAAGGACGGCAGGGGGGGGTTGACACGGGGCAGGCAGGGGCACCCAGTCAAAGGCTGCTGCAGACGGCAGGTCAGAGGCAGGCGTCCCTACCTGTGTGTTTCCTCTGTGCCTCTGGGACCCAAGCCAATTCTTTGTAAAACTCTGGGAGTGGGGGGACAGAGAGAGGGGCTCTCACCACAGGCCAGGCTCCACCCTGCCCCGGCCCCAGCCCCAGGAGTGGACCGCTCGCTACCTGGAGCTGTGGGTCAAGGGCAGGAACAAAGACGTCCCATCAGGAGCCCCCCCCCCATTCTTAAGCAAGGACAACTGACACTTCCTCCTTCTCGGGCAAAGCCAGCCTTCAGAAGCCCCCTCCACCCCACCCCCCTCCGCCCTCTTGGCTCATACCACTTCTGCCAGACAGTCACCCCTCCCGCAGCACTGACTCTGTAGCTGCTAAGATCTGGTGTGGAAAGGGAGGGCCATTCTGAGGGAAAACACAGGGAACTGCCTGGCTGTGTGGGTGTGTGGGGGGTGAAGACACCTTCTCTCTCCCTCCAAGAGATGGGGAGAACGACAGGTTCCTGCCCCCAAATACTCCCACCCCTCCCCATCCCTCCGCTGTCGGGCTTGGCATGGGTGAACGCCAAGGGCTCCCAGACGCTTGCCCCTTGGCCAAAGCTTTGCCGAGGGTGGGGGGAGTAGGGAGAAAGAGGAGTCATTTATCACACCCCCCTCCCCAAGCTCTAATTGAAACAATAAATCAGACCCAGAAATATTACGCCCGGGCCTGGAGTGCGGGAGCCACGGTTGGTTGCCATGGCAACCCGGAGCCAGCATCTCTCCCCCCCCCCCATGGTTGGTGGGGGGAGGGGACCACTGCACTGGAGATTTTCCAGAAATGTCTTCCCTGCCTGCCTCCCAGACTCCTGGGGGGGGTGTCCCCCCCCACCACCACACACACACATACACCCCAGCCCCGCCTACTCACGTTTATGGTTGTTTTTCCGGTGGAAGGGCAGGGCGTGGCGCTCGGCGTTCTCCTCCCCCTCCTCCTCGGCCAGGTGGGTGTGGGTGTAGTGGTAGCTGAGGCCCGGCCGGTTCTTATATCGCTTCCCACAGACTGGAGAGCCAGCGAGCAGGGAGGGCCGGTCAGCCCCTCTCAGCCCAGGCCATTCCCACCCCGGCCTCCGACCCTCCCATCTCTGCCAAGGCCTCAGCCCCCCATAGCCCACCCCAACCCGCCCACCGCCCCCCCACCCACCCAGGGGCCAGACTAAGAGGGAGGGGCCGGGAGGGGCGCAGCCTCCGGGCCCCATTCTCTCTTCCCCCCTTCGAAAGGACTCACTATCACAGACGTACGGCTTGTCTCGGTCCTCCAGGGAAGCGGTGTCCTGGCGTTTCCGGAGGCCCCCAATGCCATAGGCCTGGCGGCAGAGTCAGGAGCAAAGGAAGGAGGCGCTGGTCAGTGGGACTTGGGAACCAAACTTCGGCTGTAACCTCTCTGGCCCCACCCTCCCTGAATCTACTTGAGCCTCAGTTTCCCCCCTCTATCAAGTGGGTGCAAAAGCCCTCCATCTCAGAGCTTCTGTGGGGACTAAAATCGGGCCAGACTTGGGAGCCAGCGCTGTGACTAGCCAGGGCCTGCAGTGACTAGGAGAGGTGCTGGGGGGAAGCTTCGGGGAACCTGGGGCGATACCTTTCCTTTGGCTCTGTTTTTCCTCCTGGGAATGTCGTCCTCCAAGTCTTCCACCTCCAGGTCATGAGGGAACTCCAGCAGCTGCTGTTTCTGAGCATTAAGGGTTGGGTCATTGGGGTCAAGAGAATGGGGTAGGGGCAATATCTGGGGGAGGCCCGGGAGGTCTTCTTCAACGAGATGGGGTGCAAGAGGTAGAGAATCAGCACCCAGGGGCAGAGGCACCTTGCGAGCGGAAGTGGGGTGGGGGATGGGCCTGAGCAGGGCCGGGCGCAGCCTACCTGACCATCCATGATGGCCTCCTCCTCCTTAAGCTCAATCTTCTTCTCCCCCGTCTCAGCACACAGCAGGGCCTCGAGGACCGGCCCTTCTGGGAGCCCACCCTCCTTCTTCAGGGGCGCCTCACAATCTGGGGACAGGGGCATGGGGAGGTCAGGCGAGGAAGATGTCCCTGAAAGGATCCTCGCACTGCCTGGCAGGGGAGGGCAGAGGCTTTGGCACACCCAGCAAGCAGCAGATACAGGGAGTCAGACCCACGCACGAAGCATCCTGAGACCTGGGAAGAGACAGACCCACTAGGGCACTCAGGGGGAGACATGGCCGGACCAACGGAGACGCCCACTTCTAACCAGGGAAGAGCAGTCGGACACACAGGCACAAACAGAGCCTGAGATGTACCTGGACATAGAGGGAGACAAAGCCAGGCCTTGGATACACACAGAGATACTAAAAGAAGAGCCACAGTCACACCCCAAACATGCCAGCCCCACACTTTGATATACATTGACACACCTGGCGGGGGTAGAGACAGCCCAGGGAGAATCAGACACTCAGACAGACCACACATGGCCCTGCTCTGGAGAACACCACCTGGCAGACACAGTCCCTGGGATACTCCCAGACACGACCAGGGAAACAGCCACCTACACTGAGACTGATACCTTCAAGAATCCACAAGGCCAGGTGTTCTGATGGGCCAGAAACACCCAGGAGAAATGCCCCTCACAAGGAGGGGGGCTCTCCCAGGCACCCAGCCACCGTCAGACAGACCCAGGAAAAACACGTGGGAAGAGACCCCGCCGTCCTGATAGCAGGCCACATATGGAAAGCATTACCTCCCCACATTCCAATACAGCCAGATGCTCAGCCCTAAGGACACATCCAGACACTCCCGGGTAGCTTGAGCCCGGCACTCGGGCACCCACAGGCTGGCACAGCCCAGCTCACAGGAGGGAGACAGAGCCTCACACCTAGACACACGTGGCACTCAGTACCACCAGGCGCTGGGATACACCCAGGCCCAGAGAGAAGGAAATCCAGCCAGCAGCGGCTCAGCCACTGGGGAAAAACTCGGAAAATGCAGACGCAGAGCCAGCCTCTCCGCCTCTCTCGCTCACTCAACTCGAAGAGGGAGAGAGGCAGTGCTTGGAAACACTGAGGTCAACACGCCCGACCGAGCTGTGCACACGCGCGTGTGCTGGGACACTGGTGGGGGACCCAGCGGGCGCAGGGGCGCATCTCCACCCACCGATCTTGTATTCGCAGGGCCTGAGTCGGGGGTCTTCCAGAATATTGAGCCTCCGTTTCTTCCTCCAACAGCGGGCGGGGTACGTGTAGATCTGTCCAGGGGCCAGACCTGGGCGAGAGGAGCCGTCAGACGGGGGGCCTAGAAGCCGGCTCCGCCCGCCCCGCCCCGCCCTCCCGGCGGGTACCGGGCCCTCGGTGGGTCTTCTCCATCCAGATGTAGCAGTTGTTCTGGGCCACGCCAGTCTGGGAGTCGAGGAAGGGCAGGCGCAAGCTGCGCTCGGCGCACAGGCGCGCGTTGTAGCTGCGGCAGTGCTCAATGGCCTCGCGGTAGAAGTCCTCGCCTAGGCTGCCAGGGGCAGGGGGCCGGCGGGCGGCTGTTAGCAAGGGCCCCTCTCCCAGGCCCGCCCTCCTGGGATCCAGGCTGGAGGGCTTGACTTCTCCAACCCCTGTCTCTCGCTCCCCCTGGACCCGCCTAGACCCAGGGCAAGGGGAGAGGACAGGGCCAAGGGGGACCCTCAACCTGGGACTCGGCTTTTTAATTCAGGAGGAGACACACACAGTGTAGAAACAGACCGAAAAAGAAAAAGGAAACATAAAAACACCCCGGGACCCATCCATTCATGCACACAGCCAAAGCCACAACGCAAACCAATCACACATAGCTGCCACACAGGATTCACACACAAAGAGACATAGCGCAAGACTCACAAAGGAGAAACAGACAAATCTCTCTCTCCCCCCCCCACACACACAGACATATCCCAAGTCCCACGGCATAGAAAAGGCAGTTCACACGTACACCCATGCACAAATATACATCGTAATGCACCAGCAAATCCACCTCCGACGCAGGACCACACAAAGGTACACAACGTGGAAACAACCAGATGAGACACACGGAGCCACCAATGTCAAAAGGCACCAACTGTCGACACAACCCATATGCACACTGACACACAGACCCAAAGACCCAGCACCCAGCACTCACACTGACAGAGGCACAGTACAAAGGCATCACACACACACACACACACACACACACACACAGAAATACACATTGCCCGGACCGCTGTCTCAACGCATCCAGTCACACAAAGGTACACACATACACAACATACCAGCCTGCAATAGAGGGATCCAGCCGGATTTACACAACAGTGTACACACAAATACACACACACCCCACCTCCCACACACCACGCAAAGATAACCCCCAGACTCCTCGGGAGGGCATGTAAGTACTCACACCTCCACAGAGAGCGGGTGTCCAATAAAAGAAACCACACGCGGGTCCAAAGAGCCAGAACACGAACAAGTCACACACACACACACACACACACACACACACACACGCTCTCCACATCTCAAGACAAAGGTGGTCGAGACTTCCCTGCAGGGACCAGAGCCTCCCGCGGCCCTAGGCCATTCAGGCCCATTTCTTCCTCTCTCCACTCCCAGGGTCGCAGGCTGGGGGCGATGACCCCCTTCCCCGAGGAGGCTCCCGAGGCCCCCCGT